AAATGCCCCATGCCAGTCCATCTCATCTCACCAATGCCTAGTATGTCAATATTTATGCGTTCCATTTCTTCCTTAACAATATCTAATTTTCCTACATCCATGGTTCTCACATTCCATGTCCCAATCACCCATCCACTTCTGAAATAGCAGGCCTCTGAACATCAAGTTTAGTACTGCTAAATTAGAGAGTGGTAGCAATTAATTCTCTTTTAAAAGAATTTTCTGAAACAGCTGGGATTAGGGCTAAATTTCATTTAGAGATACTCAACTGCTTGAAGGTGTCAAAAGATTCTTTTTCTACATTAATTTCCAGTGTTTAGGAAGGTATTAAGAGTGTTCTAAAGAGTCAGCAGGGAGCTCTGGGGGCCTAGTGGCAAGAAGATGCGCTGCAATCCTGAAGGCACATGCTTCAAAGCCACCAGCTGTTCCAGGGAGAAGGAGGAGCAATCGCCTCCCATGAGATTAACTGCCTCTGAAAACCCGCAGGAGGTTCAGCTATGGGTCGGTTCCGACTCTATGGTACTCATCAAGAACTACAAAAGAATCAGCAAGTTGATCAAGAAAGTACACAAGTAAAAAAAAAAATAAAAATAAAGTACACAAGAGCTCATCCACATATAGGCCATGGCCTTTTCTAAGCCGACCTGGTTCTGAGCAGTCATGGAGCTTTGAGAACCTACTTCCTCTACCACTAGCTTCCTGGAGCCCCACCAGGGAAGTTCCCAGGGCTTTCCCTTGTGTGCAGGTTAGAGAGATGGGTAATGTGTAACAAAAGGAAAAGGAAGCCTGGTATTAAAATAGTTTCCTAATAAGGCAAATTATCTGCACAAGTATGCACGCAGGTGTTGTGTGCCTCCGTTAGAGAGTTTTTCGCAGCCTGCCTTAGACCATCTGGGCTCCGCAGAGCCTGACGTAGAACAAGTGCTCAATGGAGGCAAGCAGTCACCTTTATCGTAATTGAGTATTTAAGGGCAATACTCGGTATTTTTTCCATCCTTTCATTCACCTCAGTGTCTGACTTAGATCCTCAGACACAGTTGTTGATGTGTACCATTGAGTGGGAACTGACCCATAGCTGACCCTCCGGTCAGGTTTTCAGAGGCAGTTAATTGCACGGGAGAAGATTGCCCATCCTTCTTCCGCAGAGCAGCTCGTGGCCTCCAACCTTGTGTGTCTTCAGAATTTTAAGTGCATCTTCTTGCCACTAGGCCACCAGAGCTCCCTCGGCAACTAAGAAATGGTTGCGAGCTTGACTTGAATTCGTGGACTTAACAGCAAATTTCATTGATCACGAACCCCTCTATTTTGGAAGTCTATCTAAGTTAGTAGTGAGTAAAACCATTACTTAGAGACATCATCACGGACAACCAGGACCCCAGCGGTGCTCTCTACATGTTCTGTGTACTTGCAATGATGCTCCGACTTTGGTGTACTTGCCCACTTGCTATGAAAAGCTTATTAACTCGGGGGGAGGGGACAAGAAATTTAGCGCTGCTGAGAAGCTTCTATCAAGCTGACCACCACTGCCCCTCATATTCCCTCAGCAGCTGGGGCTGATCATTTCCAGCAAGGAGTTTGCTGCGCCTCCAATACAGCATCACTCGGGGAAGCTATGGGTGGAAAGTCCTTGGCCTTGGTGTTTAACACTCACTGAGCTCCATGAATGGCGAGACCGATGAAGAAGATCACAAAGAGATGGTGTGTGTACCAAAACACTTCAAAGTAAGATCTCCGTATGGTTTTGGTAGAGGAGGTGATAATTAATATTAGGCACAGTGTGATGACAACTCCAGTGATGCCCGCCAACAGAGTAAAAGCCACATACAGACCTCCTTCAGGGTTCTGGAAAACACAAACACAGACATATGTAATTTGTAGGTTCTAATTTTCAGGTCTACGTATTTAGAAAACGTCTAATGTGTAGAGCACTAGGTACCCTTTGATAGTCTTAAGCATCTCTCACAGGGGACTTGGAAATGTGTGATTTTTTTTGTTTTTTTTTTTAAAGCCTTACATGCTGAAGATGCCATAGACAATATAAATTGGTAATTATGAAATATTCTAGAGAAAATTATTTGACTAGAAATTGTCCTAGAAGTGTCTATCTAAAGCTATTTCTCCCTTTAATTTGAGATTAATGTTCACAGAAATGAACTGCTTACCTTGATTCTCTGTCGAGCAAAATTGAGATAAGTTTCGTTAGGCTTATCACCAATATCAGAGAGTGCTATTGAATAAGGATCAGAATTGTTGACACGAGCGTTCACACAAAACTCCACATTAAATAGATGTGCAATGGTGTGAATAGCTAAAGAAGGTAGAGAAAGAAACAGAGTGTAAATGGTGTGTAGGTTTTTATTACTCTCACTATGGCTCTCGACCCCATGACATGTCATAGAGAGACACAGAGTCTAAGACAGTTAAATAAATGAGAACTGGGTCTCCAGGACCAGAGGGGCAAGCCAATTCCAGCAGGAAGAACTACTAGCTGTGTGACTGGGTAAATCACATAAACTCTCTGGTGGTGGTTTCCTCATCTGTAAAAATACAAAGTTTTATTAAACAGACACGATACCAAATTCTAAGAAAAAATATTATACATATAGTTGCTGTTTACCATCAGGTAGAAACCAACCCATAGCTGACCCTCCAGCGGGTTTTCAAAGGCAATAATCACACAGAAGGAGATTGCCCATCCTAGTCCCATAGAGCATGTGGAGGGTGAGCTATAGATCCATTCTGACTCAACAGCACACAACAACAACAAAGATAGATAGATAGATAGATAGATAGATAGATAGATAGATAGATAGATGTTATTGTTGTTAAGTGCCGTCAAGTGGCAGGCGACTCATAGTGACCCTATGAAAGAGAGTTCTCGATGCCTGAGTGCCTTTCATCCTTTCTCCAGTTTCATAGGGTTTCTGGAGGCAAGCTATTATGGAAGTGGATGCCACTCCTCCTTCCAAATATAGATATATAGAGATAGAGAGATACAGATACAGATATAGATATTAGATAAATATATTCATTGTTTATTTAGGAAAAACATAGTGGCTTCAAAAATAAAATCAGATCAGTTACCACTGTGTCAATTTTCACTCATAGTGACCCCATGTATTGCATGGTCGAACTTTGCACCACAAAGCTTTTGAGATCTTTTGGAAGATCTTCCTTCCAAGATGCCTGTGGCTAGATTTTAACCACCACAGTTAGCAACTGAGTACTTAATCACTTGCACCATCTAGGAACTCCTACATAGAGTTCACTAAGTGTCATTTAATCTTTACATTTACCCAATGTTGATGTGACTTAGTAGTAAAGAATTTTGCTGTCAATGGTTCAAATCCACCAGCTGTTCCATGGGAAAAAGATGGGCAATCTCCTCCCATGTGATTTACTGACTCTGGAGGGTCAGCCAGTTGTCAGTTCCAACTTGATGGTACACAACAATGATGCAGGCACTGTAATTACCATTTCAAGGAGTGCTAGGGAGCAATACTTTACAGCTTGGCTATTGAAAATGTGTATAATCAAAATTCACTCAACACTTCTGTTGGATAAAGACTTGGTCCGTTCTCATAAAGGTTACTTTCATGTGGATTTCCAAGGGTTTTTGCAAATAAAAATGGATTCTCAGAATGAAAAAGGGTGTGGACATGAGATACAGCTCTTCTCATTCATTGCACACTTCTAATTTTATAGGAAATTCTGGTGATGAAAGAATTAAGATTTAAAGTGCAAATCTCAAAATTGGAAGGACTGAAAGCCTGGACAGAAAGTATTTTTTTAAATTTATTCAACATATACGGTATAGACAAACATCATCTAATGTACCTGTAAAGAAAAAAAATAATCTCCTACACAAAGTATCTAAGAATACAGAGAACTTTCTGGTTTCAAGTTTTCTTTCTCATTTAAATCCATTAATAAACTCACCAGTGTGAAGAGCAATCATCCAGGCCACCATTTTGTGAAAGGTGAGGTTCCTGTCCAATTGTCTGCGAATTCTTGTTGAGCAGCACTGTGGATTAAGGGGGAGGGGAAAGTTGGGATAGTATTATTAACAAGAAAGTTTCCTACATTTGATATGTATCATCTAATTTAAGTCTCACAACCAACTTACAAACTACCAGTATTATCCCCACTTAAGAGATGAGAACTTGGAGCTCCTAACAGTCAGTAAGTGGCCTAGTCATCTTCAGCAGAATGTTTTCTGTTCTTGTAGCAGTGGCATACAAACCCTCTTCAGAAATTAATTATTTGCTAAAAACATGAATTTATATGGAAGAGAAATCTAATCACATAGTTTCTAGTTTAGGTTAATTTCTCCAGTATAGTTGATAAAGAAAAAATAAACAGGTCTTCTATTAAATATCTGACAGCCTAGTAAGAAAACAGACAAGGAAAACAGTTGTACAAGTGAGTGGTTCTAGAATGAAACAATTTTAGGGTATACCTACCGTGGGAGAAATGTGAAAATTCCACCTGCCAGTAGTTCAGAAATTACATTGCAAAGGAAATAAATGGCCAAATAATAGCAACCATAAAAGTAAATTATATTTAACAAGAGCTTGTGTAACAAACTGTTTTAAGTGTTTTGCATGTATTAACTAATTTAAATCCTACATAAGTCTTATCAAAAGGAGGAAACAAAGCTTGACTTTTCTCAGATCACACAGCTAATAAGTGGCAGAGTTAGGATTAAAACTCATCCTCTGATGCCGGGGCTTATATCATATGCTAATATTAATAATTAATTTTAATTATTAATTAATTACTTGAGATTATTCACAACTTTAGTCTGCTTGGCTCCACAGTCAACACTCTTGGCACCAGCAGGCAGGAAATTAAAAGACGTATTGTGATGGGAAAGTCTGCTGTTAGGGACCTCTCCAAAGTACCGAAGAGCAGTGGTGTCACTCTGGAGACTGAGGTGTGTCTGATACAGGCTATGGTCTTTACAATCTCTTGTTATGCATCAGAGAGTTGGACAATGACTAGGGAGTATAGAAGGAGAATTGATGTCTTTGAGCTGTGGTGCTGGAGAAGAGTATTGAATGTACCAAGGACTACCAAGAAAACAAGCAGATTCATTCTGGAGAGGGTTAAACCAGGCTGCTCCTTGGAGGCAAGGATTCTAGGGCTTCATCTGACATACTTTGGACATGTTGTAAGGAGAGACAGGTCCTTGGAGAGGGACATCATGTTTGAGAGGGTGGAGGGACAGCGCAGGAGGGGAAGGCCCTCTATGAGGTGGATTGATTTAGTGACTGGGGTAGTAATCAGGATGGATGTGTCAGAGACAGTGGGATTGGCACAGGATAGAGAAGAGTTTAGGGCTGTTGTACAAAGGGTCACTATGAGTCGCAAGCGACTCGACGGCACATAACAACAATAATATTAATTATCAATTATATATAATTAATGTCAATAATACTTGATATTATTACCTTGTTATTTCAAACAGTATTTGGGTTCATACTTCAATGTGATTGACCTGCACTGGTTAGAAAATGTGGCTTTGAATCTGAATTCAAGCCCATGTTCAAAGCAGAAAAAACATGGTTGCTGGTTGAGTTATAGTTTTGCCCTCTTGAAAACTGCCCAAACACTCATGCTAGCTACTTTGGCTTGAATCTAGATACACAGTCAGGGAATCAAATAACTTTAAGAGGAGGGGAGTGAAAGGCCAAAAGTTGTTGAGATTTTTAAATATCAGATTTCAAACATGGCAACGAATACAATTTAACTATGTTGCTATATACCTGGATGTGCTCACCAAGTTGTGCCAAGAAACCTGGAGGACAACCACCTGACCAACTGACTGGAAGAGATTTATATTTGTTCCTATTTCAAAAAAAGGCAATCCAACGAGTGTGGAAATTATCAAACAATATCATTGATATCACATGCAAGCAAGATTCTGCTGAAGATTATCCAAAAGCGACTGAAACAGCACATCAACAGAGAACTGCCTGAAGTATAGGCTGGGTTTAGAAGGGGTCATAGTCCTAGAGATATTGTAGCTAATGTAAGACGGATCTTGACTGAAAGCAGAGAATACCAGAAGATGTCCATGAAGCCTATATCCTTTCTCCATTCTTGTACAATATTATGATGAGTAAAGCTATTCTTTATGACGAGGAATGTGGCATCAGGATCAGAGGAAGACTCATAAACAATGTATGTCATGCAGATGACACAAACTTGGTTTCTAAAAGTGAAGAAGACTTGAAATACCTGTTGCAGAAGATCAAGGACTGCAGCCTTCAATGTGGATTACACTTCAACATCAAGAAAACAAAAATATTCATCACTGGACCAATAGGCAGCATCATGATAGATGAAGAAAAAGGCAGGAGCTGTTAATAATTTTGTCTTGCTTAGGTCAACAATAAATTCCAGTAGATACGTTGCTTTGGGAAAATATGCTGATTTTCTGCTGAAAATCTGCAGAGGTCAAGGACCTCTCCAAAGAACAATGATGTTGGCTTAAAGACTGTGGTGCACTTGATTCAAATTATGTTTGTTGATTTTGTGGGGTTTCCTCCCTAATTATTTGCTATGTATCTGAAAGTTGGACAAAGAATAACAATGGTATGAGAATTGATGCCTTTGAGTTGTGGTGTTGGAAAAGAGAACTGGATATCCTATGGACTGCCAAAAGAACAAACAGATAATGTCTTGGAGAGAGTGCAAGCCAAGTGCTCTTTGGAGGTGGGATAACAAAGCTTCATTTCACATACTTTGGGCATGTGGTTGTGAGAAGCCTGTCCTTGGAAAAGGACATCATGCTTGGAAAGGTAGAGAGAGGGTCAGCAAAAATAAAGGAAGTCCTTCAATAAGATGAATTGACACAGTGACTGTGTCAGTGGGCTCAAGTGTATCAGAGATGATGAGGATAGGACAGGATTCAAATTCATTGTTTATAGGATTGCTATGAATTGACGCGATGGCACAACTAACAACAACAACAACTCCTGTCACATGTTAGCTGGCTTATTCCTCTTAGGGAAATCTGGAAGACTGCATAGAACGCACTTCAGAGTTATTTTACCTATGAGGTTAGGGAGCTGGAGCATTTATCTTCTGACTCTCATCCAGCAACAGCTGAACACAGCTCTTGGGGCATCAACTCTCTGGTATATGCGCTCCAAGGTGAAATATGAAAGCAAAGCCTTAGGCAGATATTCACTGGTACTTGCAGGGAAGTTGTTTCACGTATTGGAACTGTCAGTATTAATGGGGTGAGTGGGGCACCAACATCATCTGAGATTTCCTTTTTTCCTCCGTTTTCTCCTTAAATATTGGGGTTTTTAAAAATTTTTAATTATTAATTGTAATGAAAGTTTACAAAGACTTTGGATTTCCATTCATTCATTGTTGCACTTTTCTCGCTGCCCGGTCTCCCCCCAGTTTGCTCTTCTCTTTGAAAAGTAAAAGAAAAATTCTTTCATTGTTATGCAATCCCTCCCCCCAAGTTCACTCCACTATGCAGTCTTCGTTCTGGACTCCTGTCATGGCAATACCTAATCACATATCCCTTTTAAACAGTTAGATTTCCTTTTTTTTTTTTTTTTAGATTTCCTTTTTTGAAATGAGTTCTTTGGTATGTCTGTTGTCCTCAAGGGTTTTTGTTGTTGCATTCAAGAGCTGAAAAGTCATTTGCTACTTTGTCTGTATTCTTTACAATTTTAAGGAATTTTTTCCCCTTTCTGTTGCCCAATTTCTAGGCTCCTCCTTAATTTCTAAAAGTCCTTGCAGTAGGCATAATTCTAAAATGACCCCCTATGACCCTTATTCTTGTATAATCTCCTCCCCTTGAGTAAAAGCAGGACCTTCGAATATGATGCACTTTCATTTCTCTGACTTTGTTATGTTCTAATGGGAAAAGGATATTTCAGAGATAATGAAGATCTCAAATCAAGTGACTTTAAGAAGGAGACTAGCTGCACACCCATGTTTATTGTTGTGTTGTTCACAATAGCAAAGAGATGGAAACAACCCAAGTGACCATCAAGAAACTGATAGAGAAGCTGTGGTGTATTCACACAATGGAATACTATGCCTCGCTGAAAAAACAAGGAACTCATGAAATATACAAAATGGTGACCCTGGAGAACACTATGCTGTGTGAAATATTTCAATTACAAAAGGACAAATACTGCATAATGCCACTGCTATAAAACAGGACTGACATCAGGGTTGAGGAAAAACTAAGAAAAGAGGGGATAAATAATGTATACTTCATTGAAACAGATGAACGGCTTAAATGGAATATATGACTAGGTATTATTTGCATGACAACTGTACAGAATAAGAGCTGCATAGTAAAGTGGACTGGGGTGGGGATGGGGAATTGTACAACAATTAAAGAATTTTTTTTTTCAAAGAGAAAAGCTAATGGGAGGGGGGAGGGTTGGGCAGGGAGGAAAATGTGCAACAATGAATGGAAATCCATGTTATCTAGAAACTTTCATTAAAATATCAATTTTAAAAAATAGAAAAAATAATTTAAAATTTAAAAAATACTCAGAGGATTTTTTTGTCTTTTGGAGTTTTGTTTTTTTTTGGTGGTTTTTGTGTGTGTGTTCATTTTTTTTTTTTTAAAGGAGACTAGCTAGCTAGGTAATTCCTTAAATCTGCATCTAGAAGTCAGAGTCTCAGAGGCTTAAAGCATGAGAAGGATTCACAGCTGTTGCTGGCTTGAAATAGAAAATCCCTTGGTTTCTAGGAACTGAGAGTGAGGCCCAGCTGACAGCTAGAAAGGAGACAGGAAACTCCTGAAACTGGAGGAAACTGAACTATGTCACCTACTAGGTAGATGTCCTAAAGAAACAAGCAAGAGCTATAACATGAACAGATGCACTCATGTTTACTGTAGCATTGTTCACAACAGAAAAGAGATGCAAACAACACAAGTGTCTATTATCAATGAACAGATAGAGAAACAAGGTGTATTTGCACATGGACTTTGAAAAACGTGGCAAATTCGTGAAACAGCATAAAATGAATGAATCT